TCGCGTTCGCGCGCGGTTGAAATAGAACCGCATACGGACCTGTAAAAAATTGATTAGAAAACGGATCCGTTTGGTCATGACTCGCAATCGGATCGGATACGGAGATCGCGAACGGACAGGATACGGAAAAAAAAGAATAATGTACTGCTATTTACTAAAAACGGTTCGCGTACGGTCCGTATGCGGTTCCTATTTCAACCGCGCGCGAACGCGGAGCGTCCGTAACGGATTGTTCGCGAATCACCTGTGGGTTCAAGATTTTTTGGAAGTTCTTACGAATCTCCATGTACTTTATCACTGATTTTCGAACAGAATGCAATAGTTCAAACGATTTTACACTTCCAAGTGGAAGAACACCATTTTTCGCTATTCCTCCATCTCTAAATCTCTTCCTCTTCTATACTATCTCTCATTTTTTGATTTGACTTTCTATTTTTAATTCAATATACACTGATGATACCTGTTCATCCGTTAAAAATGTGAAAAAAGAGAGAAAGAGATGACACAATTTTTCGTCTATCTCTTTGCTTTTTTTCCTCCTAGAAACTTAGATTTTCTACAGTTTGATTCAGTCTTTTTTGTTATTGTTTTTTCAAAAATTAAGGTTTTTCTTTTTTTTACTGCTGCAATTACCGTAAACACTCTAATAGAAGACAAGCCAACTTCGAGCCCATATACCGTATTTCCTCTAATAGAAGCCCACCTCTAATTGAAGCCCACTTCTAATAGAAGCCTACCCTCCGACGTGCTTAAAACATAGAAGCGCAATTTCTATCAGAATTTCGTGCAGTTCAATTAGTGCAGTTCGTACAGTGCAGTTTGTTTAATCGGTTATTGCAGACATTGTCTTTCTTTTTAAAAAATATTCCAGTGATTTCAAATTTTGATAATTTCCTGACTATTGACTAGTGAGAAGGAGGTTGAAAAATAAAAGTCCATTGGCTTCAATTAGAGGAAGTACGGTATCTCGGTCCCTCTAAGAGATATCAAAAAGTAGTCAACTAACAAAATGTTTATCATAATACCAAAAATATTTTATTAGTTGACTACATTTGGATAACTTTTACAGGAACCGAGATATATGAGCTCAAAGTTGGCGGTTTGAGTGGTTTTCTATTATAGTGTATACGGTATGCTGAAATTATGACTGAAAACTACCTTAAAATAACAAATCCTAAAAAATCCTAAGAAAATAAAATAAAAAGAAGGAGCAGAGAAAAACAGAAAAAAGACATTGAGAAGAGGTTGTAACCTTCATCCTATCCTATCCAGGTATCAAATTTCCATGTCAACTAGTACCTTCTCTTGTCCAGGTTCAGATTTTTCGGTAGTAGTTTGTTTCTGTTTTTGTTTTTTTATTGTTTCTCAAAATTCTTCCTCAATATTTTTCGAATTTCTGAACCCCCATTTTTTCAGACGACGAAACGAACCGATCGAGGCTAGAAGTGGAATATAGTGAAATTCGGAAAAAGAAAAAGAATCAAATCAATAATAATCAAGAAGAAGAACAAGAAGAAGGTTCAACAATGCCGGTTGGACCGCCTGTCCCACCAAAACCATCTACTCCGATAATGAATGGAGATAGACTGGGAGAGTATGGAGGAGGAGATAATGTTCCAGAGAGGTGGGAATTTTAAGATTTATTGGGAAAGTCATTTACCAATTTTAAATTTTCAGACGAGGCATTCTTCCTGCTTCCCTTCGTGAAAAGATCAATCAGAAGAAAGAGTTGGAAGGTCGTGCGACACCAAGTATCGAACCAGATCTTGTGGGAAGAGACAGATACGATAAAGCATCCCGTTGTTTCTCATATGTCCCCGCAAAATCGATGCAAGAAGCGTTCGAACGTCCAAGAAGAACATCATTCTCCAGAGCAATTGAAAAACGAGAGAATAGTGTGGAGAATATCAGTCAGGAAGAAGTAGCAAGAACGACGATTCCGCAAAGTTATCAACCACAAGATATTGCGACACCGGCGAAATGGGATGAACAAGTGGAGGATGCGAAACAAGCGGCGCTTTTAGATGAATTGGCGAGAGCTCCATCGGCAATGCAACAGAATTATTGGGGACGAGGCGGAGATGATGAAGTGGATAATGTTCAGGTGGTGGAACAAGCACAAAGAGCAGTTATTACTCCTACGTCTACACTCCAAAGAAGACCCAAACCACCTGCAAGGTCTGGAAGTTATAGGACATTGAATGATGATGCTTATTGGTAAGGTTATCCTTCTTTTTTCAAAAAAAAGAACTAATGTAGAAAATGCTGTTTAAAATACCTAAAAGCTAAATTATATTTGAGCTCTCAAAACTAGAATTTCTAGTGTTGGAGTCTTTTATCCTTTTGTTTATCTAAATACCGTAAACTTTGAACTCAATTATCTCGGTTCCTATGAGAGATATCAAAAAAGAATCAACTGATGAAATAATTATCATAACATGATCAATATTTTGTCAGTTGACCAATTTTTGATATCTTCACTAGAAATCGAAATAATTGAGCTCAAAGTGAAGATCCTACTCGAGAAAATATTTTGACTACAGTCCAAAAATCATACTCCTATTCTTCAAACTTTCAGCAGTGACATGGACGAATTGTGCGATCCAGACTACTATCTGAACTTCAACACCAACACGGCTCCAGTCCCACCGCCACGTCATCAGCATGCTGGAACAAGAAGTGTGCAATTGCCGAGAAAGAAGATGAATTTTGATGCGGTGACGTAAGTTTTGTTGCAAAATGCTCTTAAGAAACTCCTCGCTTTCAGAGATCCTCTGGACGATGTACTGGAATCTACGAAACGTCTTGGATCAGCGTATTCTGTTGGAGACGTTCGTCAAAATGGAGAACCACAAAAGAATAATGACTTCAACTTCTCGAATACGCTGAACAACACACCGACTGATTATAGACAACACTACCGTAATCGTAATTGTCAATCTGTGACGACACCAAGAAGTCACCACTTCTCAACAACACCTTCAAGAGAACAAGAATCAGATGCTGCTGATTCGTGGTTGAATGGAAAATTGAAGAAAGTTAGAAGTAAAAGAGATATCGATCCAGATATTGTTCGTCGTCGGACTCAAGAGAAAATGCTGTTAGAAGAACTTAAAGACTCAGCCAACAACGACGAAAATCAGCAGCTAATTCCAAATGGTCATTATCGTGGCAATCAGAATATCGATCCATTGGCAGAGTTCAGAAGAGAGGAAGAGAGACTGAGGAATACTAGAAGTCCATATGGAGAGGAGAGATGGTAAGTCAATTTGAAAATCATTATCATATCATACATAAAGCTATGTTAATTTTGTAGGCGTGGTCGAATGCGTGGCAAGCCTCCAACGCCTCCACCAAGAGAGTCGAGTGCTTCTCCAGTCAACTCACTGGCACGTGGAACTCCATCAAACCATTTGGAGAATTCAAGACAAAGACACAACCAATCGGTGCCACTTCCAATGCATCATAGACAGTTTGATGAGGATTTTGATGTCAATTCGTTGCTTAACTTTTCGGTGAGATTTTAATAGAGCGGCATTGAAACTTGAATTTCAAATATCTGCAAAACGAATATGGTTTCTCAATGATAGTCGGAAATACTTCGTTAGAGATCGTCTTTCAAAATTATTTCCAAAATACCGTAAAACCACCTGAAATAGAATGGTTTTTAACTTTGAGCTTAGTTATCTCAATTCCTGTGAAAGATACAAAAATTTTGTCAACCAATAAAATGTTTGTTCAATTGTGATTAACATTTTATCAGTTGACACTCTTTTGACACGTTCAACGGGAACCGAGATAAATTGGCTTAAAGTTAAGGCCTAGTGACCGGGTTGTACGGTAAAGTAATAATTATAAAAATTCCAGTCGGGAGGACCACAAGAGCTAATTTGATTTTTTTTTTAACATATCGTTAGACCTGTATTAGTAAGGCCGGCCTTTTTATTGTTCCATGGCACCTCCAGAGGGCCCTTCAATTAGAATGGCCCTTCAACTAGAAAGAGGAGGATCCTGTGTTTGAACAAATTCCTGTAAAATTCTGGAATTTCCGGAACATTTTTGACTTAAAACGTATGAAAAATTTTTAATTTCAAACAACACATTTTGACGGGACCCTCTATTTTTCCAAGCTCTTCTCGAAGGACCCTTCTATTTTAAAGGAGTCCTTCTAATAGAGATTTACGGTACCTGAAATTAGAAATCTCTGAAAAAAAAATGTGGTTCCTCAAAGCTAGATGGAAGTACTCCGAGAGATTAAGGTTGTATTTTGAATTTACTTTTGAGATAAAACTTGATAAAAAAGGACTACAAAAGCTATTTAAAATAGAAAATACTTGATTATTATGAATTGAATTCTAAACTCTCCCAATTTTTCAGCACGACCCTCGCCAGCAATCAAACAACACAATGGATCGAGGCGGTCGTAGTTTATCTCGTGGAGCTCGAATTCAAGATGCCTATTATCAATCTCAACAGGATTTATCAGCCAACAACAGATACTATTCTGGACAGGAAAGAGTTGCAGCTGCTATCTACAGAGCTGAAACTCCCCACCGAGACATTTATGCGAGTGGAACAATAAACCGAGCAGAAACACCTGGAAGATATTTCCCGGAAAATGTGAGCTTTTAATTTGTTTTTGACTTCAGAAGTATTATTGAGGAATAGACAACTTGTCAAGATTGTTATTATTACTTTTGGAGTTAGTCGTTTTTTGAATAAATATAAAAACATAGAATCAAGAATGAACACCGTCATTGAATAAAAGAAGAAGAAGAAGAAGAAGAAGAAGAAGAAGACGAAAGAAACATAGAAAAGAAACAATAACATTATCATAGTGTCTTCTTCTTCTTTTTATTTTCTGTCCGATTCAATCAAATCTCTCAATTTTCTCCTTTCAACAAAAGTACGAACTTAACTACCCTTTTTTTCTTCAAAAAAAAAGACCTGAAAAATCTATAAAATTAGTATTTTCAGAGCGCAGTTCTCGAACGTTCGGCCACACCATCCTTCCCGGTGTCGCGTGCCACACCTCTTCCGTTCCATCCATTGTTGTATAATAACGGTGAACGAGGAGGAGGAGGAGACAGATATAACAACGGTTATAACGGTGGAAGTAGTACAATGAACAACAGGTATGATTATATGATTTTATCTCTCTTTTTTTGGGGTCCTCTCCGTCCCAGAAGATTATCCGGGAGAATGGTAATTTCCGTAAAGACTCTAATAGAATGGCCCCCAACATTTAATTTTGTGCGCTACTATCTCGGTTCCTACAGAAGATATCGAAAATTTGTCAACTGATAAAATATTGATCATGTTATCATAAACATTTAGTCAGTTAACCACTTTTTCATATCTTGCATAAGAGCCAAGATTAACGAGCTCAAACTTGACAGTGTGAGGGCCCTTATATTGAAGGTTTTACGGTAGTAGGATTTGGGGAGATAAAGTAAAATACTTTGAAACATATTTCTGGAAAAATCAGGAGTCCACCAATAGCATATATTGTGGAATAATTGTGCTTTTACATTTTTCGAAAATTCACAAAAATTGGTTTTTTATATCAGATGATAGGAAAATTTTCGAAATCTAGTTTGAAGCCTAGAAAGCGATCTAAGATACTATAAAACTTGATATAGAAGGGTCAAGTTTAAGCTCAATTATCTCGGCTCGTATGAGATATATCAAAAATGTGTCAATTGATAAAATTTTTATCATAATATCAGCAACATCTTGCCAGTTAACCATTTTTTGATATTTTTCATAGGAATTGAGATAATCGCGCTCAAACTTGACCGTGTGGGGGTCCTTCTATCACAGGTTTAACGGTAGCACTTTAACATCCCACATTTCGATTTATAATAGCTACGTAGGGTAGATACTGGTGAAATTGTTTTCAGCATGTTTGAAAGTAACTTTCTACAAATAAGCAGAGAATTAAAGGTCCATGTTAATCTAATTTTAAAAATAATAATAATTAAAAATAATAATAATTTCAGATCCGCCTCTCCCAGACACTTTGGTGGCTCCTCAACGTTGAGCAGACGGTCTTCAACCAATTCTGTTGGTGAGTCTTTTTTTTAATTACTAAATATCTGAAACAAAAACAATCCGGACACCTAGACCGCACCAGACTTTTCTTCCTCACCCAAATATTAATAAACACCGAAATAAGTCAACCAGTTCTCTTTCACAATCTCATATTAGTACTTGAAGATTGTCCCTGTATGTCCGCTTATTATTAATACCTCTCTCTCTCTTTCGATGTGTGAGCCTAGGCGCAAATATTTTGTCGTCGCCCCCGCCAAACAAACTGGTCTTCTCCTTTTTTCTTTTCATTCACGGTCTCTCTTCTGGGTGTTCCCCCTTTGCCTATTCTATCCCCATTTTGAGGTAAAAGGTAAATTGAGCGGACACACACAGAATGAAGTTTTTGAAGAGTGAGTTTTCGGAGATTTTGGCGAAGTTGAATCTGGAAGCACTCGAACTGTTTTTTTCAAAAATATCATTTAAGAAGCATTGTCAGCACCAACAGCCATGTGAGGTCATCAGAATGACTTAATTCTCCTCATCCTAGAAAGTTAGCAGTTAAGAATCTCTAAAAAGTGAGCGTGATTCAAAGAATTTTAGAAAAAGTCTGAAATTCAGTTTAATAGAAATCGCTTTGAAATTGTAAAGATTTCAGACGGATGGTGTAGATATCCATGATGACGTGGCTCAGAGAACAACAGCGGAGATTCCATTTTATTTGATTTTTTGAGTTGACTGACAAAGTAATCGCTAGATAAGCTAGAACAATACTACTACTATAGTTTGAAACTGAAGTGCACATAATTTTACTGACCAACGCTTTTGTTCTAAAACGAATGACGGGGAGTATTTTATTTAAAAACCAAAACCTAACTTCCAATTTGTAAAAGGAAATAAATGTTTTGAATCGAAACTTGCACTTTTTTGAAAAAAAAATCTTATCAATAGAGTGTTATGAACGAAACACATAAAAAATATAACTGCAAAGGGAAGACAGATAGTAGGCAACATCACATAGAAAATCAAAAAAAAGAGCTGGCATCAGAATTCCGTAACAATCGAGACTTCCCGTTTTAGGCAGTACATAGAAGTGAAAAGCATTTTAACGATGTTCGTAGATTTCTCCGGAAAGCAAAGCAGTTGAAATCTGTATAATTTTTTCGAAAAGGTAGGTAATTGTTACGTCATTAGAAAGTCATGAATCCGTCCCGATTAGCAAGGAAAGTGACTCAAAAACTTTTTAATGAATATGTTAGCAGCATCTATGTCGTAAATCAAAACTTGAAATTCAAATGAACAAAATTTTCGAAAAATAAGAAGCAACAAAGTTTTGGGGATGCTTCCATTATAGAATTTTCGGTATCTCTTAAAATAAAAGCTGTAAATTATTGAATATAGAAAAAAGGTCCGCGCTCATCACTTTTTCTCATCAGGTGTTTGTTCTGCCCCTACCGGTTTGGCAAATAGGGGTAGTCTGTAATAATTAATCCTGGCGCTGGATGGAACCGAGCCCGTGGTGTGCGGCGCGCTGACCATGGTTTGCAAAAGCGTACACTAAGATACCACGCGCGTCACCGAAAACGTTTATAATAAACATCGTAAACTATATCCCGCTTCTATAAGAACATCTCGTTTTGGGTGGGCACAGCGACGTTTCGAGCGTCGTTACTTTGTGAGCATGACTTTTCGAAAGTAACGATTTTTGCACAGAAAGACCGCAATACTTTGTTGTCTACGTTTTCAACTGATTTTTAAATAAGTTCTGTGTATAATTGAAGCTGTTCGGATTTTCTTTTTGCAACGCTTCGAAGCAGACACTTCGAAAGTGTGCAAGTGCGACAATAAATCCTCTAAAAGGCTTTGAATACCGTAAGAACTGTAATACAACGCCACCTGTATTAGAAGGTTCCCTCTAATACAACGCCACCCTTATTAGGTGCTTATGTTTTTTTTGCTTGATTCACAAAGTAAGTACGCGAAACTGTGATTTTCGAAACATCGCACTTTCAAAGTTTCTGCTTTCTAAGCGTCGCGGAGCTTTGATGTAGGTATAATTTTCGAGACCACACACGAACGTATTGAAAGTTTTCCCCATCTTGAAATTTATTTTCCTCGCCTTCCTTACTTCATCTGATTGAGTAAAACCACTCTGCAAAAGTGAAAAGAGTTGTACTTCCAAAGTGTGTGTATTTTTTTTCTGCCACCCTCAAAAGTATCTTCTTCCGATTCGCTTTTCCATCCAGTCATGTTTATAAAAAATTGTGAAGCAAAAAGAAGAAGAAGGAGCAGGAGGTCTCTGAGATTTTGCTTTCACGGTGCTCTCCCATGGGAACTTTGGGAAGGGTCCCTTTCCTTCCGATTGGACCCTTTTCCTTCTCACACACTCTCAGAAGATATGATAGAGGGGTCGACCAGAAGTGGGCGGGGCTTATTTTTGGGGGTGAATACGGGAGACATGGGGGAGACGAAGAGACGCAGAACGACGGAGACAGCTGTCAGGCAAGACTAGTGGGAGAGGTGGTGAGAGGATGGAGTCTCTTGCTGTGTGCCTTTTCCTGTGTTCTTCTTTTTTCTTTTTCTTATTCTAATGCTTCCAGATTTTTAGGTGAATTTGAGATTCCAAATTAGGAGACTTGGACTATGAGTGTCTTAACTTTCTATGATCTTTCACTACTCTTCGAAATGTATCCTTTGACTTCCAAAATAATGTAATTCCGTTTTCTTCCTTCCGTAACTTCTCTTTTCATGTTCACTGATACTTCGTCTAGAATAGAAAATTCCAGAATCTGAATAGGATTCTGAATCTCACTATGTCCACTGACACTGCGACCACCTCAACTGGTGCTGGAACCATGACCACCGCATCCACTACAGTCGTTATCCATCTGAAAAGAAACCATCCCGATGAATCAGCCACCACCGGATCAGCAACCGCTCAACTCCATCAACACTCCAGAAGTCGATACTGTGACGTATCGTTAGCATCTTCTGAAGAGTCTTCAGATCTTTCGGATGTTGATGAAAAAGAGGATCTCATCAGAAGGACCATCACATCATCTTCTAAAGAGACGATGGAAGAGGATGATGATGATGATGTGGCACAAGAAGAAGAAGAATTCGATGACGTGGTGATGGAAGAAGACGTGGGAGGTGGTGGTGGAGATCGGATAGAGGATCAGTTTAGTCGAGGTGGTGGGATTCTTAAGAAAAGTAATGGGAAAGGTATGGGACCCTTGCTAAGGGTATCAACGTCATTAATTAGAGAAGTGCCTGATTGAATATTAGCATCATGAGGCTTCTTATATAATGTGTCATCCTAATATTAGCCAGCTTGTTATTAGTCTCTCTGCAAGTTGCAGACTGCAACATAGGCCTATGTGTCCAAATGTCCACAAATCCCAAATTCAAATACCGTAAAACTTGTCATAGAAGAGCCCCCTAATATTTAACTTAGAGTCGATTTATCTCAATCTCTGTCAAAGATACGAAAAACCTCCTGTCAACCGGTAAAATGATTATTAAAATATGCAAACATTTTATCAGTTGATTCATTTTTGATATCTTTCATTCAAGCCGAGATAATTGAGCTCAAACTTGACAGTGCGGGAAACCTTTTATTAGAGGTTTTATGGCATATTAAATCCCAAATTCAAAGAGTCGGAAGACTCCCAAAGTCTCATAATCTACCCAGAAAAACCCATTTGGAGTTGTCTTCTCCCGAGTTCTAAAATCACTTCTCTGCGCCTCCGTCTATCTAATTTTTTTTTGAAAAATCCCGAATTGCTCATAAAACTTCTGCCTCTAAAAACATACTGATGTGTGTTCTACTACACAAACTTCTCCCTCTTTTTCTCAAAGAATTTTATGGGTGCGGCCGTTTTTCGGACAGAAAGGAATAGAGAAAATGTAACTATGGAGGGAAGAATGGAAAACAGTTAAAAGGAGAGGAATATATGTTGATTTCTTTCATCAAAAAGAAGGAAGACTCATAAAGTTTTATGCGGTTAGATTAGGCGGATTCTGAAGACTGATGACACGTGGCGCGAACCAAATTGAGCGGAGGAAACGGGAAAGAAATTGGGCGGAAAACATGCTTAAGGATCAACGAACGTTTTGAAAAAAACTGAAAAAAATGTCGTCTTCTGAAAAGTAGTTCAAAAAATTAGGTCACCGTTTTTCTCAAAAATAAGTTCGGAAAATTCCAGGATGATCCTAAAAAAGTTTACCTGTTTTTTTCCAGATATTACTATGCATTGAAAAATTTCCTTTTCCAAAAATTCAGCAAAATAGGTCTCGTTCTACATAATTTCCATTTAGATTACCAATTTCTCAATTTCAGACACTTCCGAAATCATTCATCATCATCCATTATTTGTAAAAGACACCTCCAAATATTGGTACAAGCCGTCGATTTCCAGAGAACAAGGTTGGTTCTTTTTGTCGCTTTAAAATGCATGTCACTATTTTGGGAAATCAATTGGGTTTTCGGTCTTATCAATAAGAAAAGAGCAGGAGTTGATTGGATTATTCAACATTGAAGTTTGTAATTTGCCAACTGTGACTGATAAGAAAGTGAATGATTGAGTTTTGACTATTCAAAAAGTGAGACAAACAAAAATAGAAGGCATCCGGACGTTCTGATCAACAGGCAAACCCAGAAGGCAACTGCTCTGGAATAAAAATCATTCGTATACCGTAGACCTATAAAACAAGGGCCCCAAAGTTCGAGCCAATTTATCTGGCTTCCTCTGCAAGATATCAAAAATTTGACGACTGACAAAACCCTGCTGAAATTATGATAAACAATTTATCAGTTGACATCTTTTTGATATCTTTAACAGGAACCGAGAAAAATTAACTAAAACTTGACAGTGTGTTTTTCTTATTTTTTTCGGTTCCTAAAAAAATTGTTTGTCATAATATCACAAACATTTTATTAGTTGACAACATTTTTATATCTTTAACAGGAACTGAGAAAAGTTGCCTCAAAGTTAAAAGTTAGGAAGGCCCTTCTATAACAGGTTTTTAATCAGTTTGACAGTAGAATATTTTCTTAAAAGTTTAAGTTAAAACCAGAATAAATTCAAAACACATTGTAGATCAAATTCCCGGTCTCAGATGGTTTCAAGTTTCTTTAGACTTGCAATTTACACTATTTTCTCCGTTGAACTTTTTCAATTTTTTGTTCAGTCCACCCGAGAGAGAGAGAGAGAGAGAGAGAGAGAGAGAGAGAGAGAGAGAGAGAGAGATATTCATGAACCCGGGGAGTCAGCAAGATATATGTATAGAAACGTGTAACCTCAATTCCCGTCGTATTGTGTTGTAATATTGTGTTGTGTCCGAGAAGTAGGAGAAGCGTCCGAATGTTCTTATTCTTCACTTTCTCCATAGTACTGAACATAGTGTAAAAGAGAAGAGCATTGATTCGAATCGAAATGATCGAGCAGGAGCATAACGAGAAAGAAGTGAAACTTTGTTTCGCAAGGGATAGGGTCAAATTTCGAATTCTCGCTAAATTGAAATAATAAATAAGATACTAGATACAGAAAATTCTCGCAATTTTAGGTGCTAGTCGTCAAATTTAAAGCCTTAAATGAGCTACCGTAAATCCTGTACTAGAAGGACCCCCACCTTATCAAGTTATAGCTTATTCATCTCGGCTCCTATGAGAGGTATCAAAAATGTGTCAACTAATAAAATGCTTGTTAGATTGTGATAAACAATTTATTAGTTGACAACTTTTTGATATCTTTCAAGGGGATCGAGATAAATTGGCTCAAAGTTAAAATTTAGAGAGCCCTTCTATTACAGGGTCATGTTCATACAAAAAAAATTATGAGTCCTCTAAACTGTTTCCAAAAATTTGGCAAATTAAATATATTTCATATCCTGACATCCCTATTTTCTGATCCCGAAATTTCGCTATTTTTTGGGCTATCCCGGGGATTCTGAACATCAGTCATTTCGTGGAAATCGTTCAGCTGCGCTTGGATGTATGTGATGAATTGTAGCATTTCTAGAAGCAAAAGAGTCAGAAAAGCAAAAGTATGAATTATGAATGTCTCCATTCCATTCTTTCCTTCAGAAGGAAGAATATCTCCCAAAAAAAGAGAGAGCGCACATTTGTTTTTCATGGGATTTATTGCTCCGTATGGAGTCACCGTGGACATAAAAAACAGAAAGAAATGTTTTTTGGTGGTAAACAGAGAAGGGGAAAATGCAACAAGGGAAAGAATAGTGAAAAAAGAGGTCGAGAAATTTGAAAAATTGTCTAGAAAGATTTTGAGCAACACTGATCAGTTTTGATGGGAACTGAATATTTTAAAGTTGCTGAAAACAACCTGGGAATGTTCTTATTTTCAGCGATAAACATGCTTCGAGACAAACCACCGGGAACATTCGTTGTCCGTGATTCCAACTCATTCCCAGGAGCATTTGGTTTGGCACTCAAAGTATCCACACCACCGCCAGGTGTTAATCCAGGTAATTTCGAACTTTATGATAAAATTCGTAATACTATTTTTCAGGCGATGGAACCGAACTCGTCAGACACTTTTTGATTGAGCCATCACCGAAGGGTGTCAAACTGAAGGGATGCAATAATGAGGTAAAAGGCATATGGGACCTAAAGATTTATTAGTTTTCGTTTGTAATGGGAAAGGGGATCATAAAGAAAATGAGATGGATGGGGTTAGGATATAATAGTCTGCCATCTAAGCATCGTGGATTCTAGATATCTTTTTTTACACCTCCAACTTTGAGTTCTTGTATATCGGTTCCTATGTGATATATCAAAAATTAGTCAGCTGATAAAATATTAGTGATATTACGATAAATATTTTATCAGTTGAAAATGTTTCGATATCTTTTGAAGGAACCGAGATAAATAGTTTCAAAGTTGATGGCGTGGGCTTCTAGTTGATGGCGAAGTTGATGGCGTGGGCTTCGTTTCAAAGTTGATGGCGTGGGGGTACAAAAATTTTAGGGTCATTGGGGTACAGAGCGATTTAAGGATACAAAAAAAGTGGATTTTGTACCCCTAAATCACTTTGTACCCACTTTGGCCTTAACTCGTTGTACCCTCCCAATTATGCCTTTCAATTAGAGTATATGGCAAGAATCGATATGATTGAACTTCTTTAATCAAAGTTATTTTTTCAGCCCGTTTTTGGATCTTTATCTGCTCTCGTCTATCAACATTCTATAACTGCTTTGGCTCTTCCCACAAAACTAGTCCTTCCGGATTTCGATCCCGCAGCCACACCAGAACACTTATCAGCGACTCAAGCCCTTCTGGAACAGGGAGCAGGTGCTTACAGTATTCTTCTATTCTTCTAATCAGACATTTTTCAGCTTGCAATGTCGTCTATGTGGGCAGTGTCGACGTCGAATCTTTGACGGGTAATGAGTGTGTCAAACGGAGCATCGCTACGTGTTCACAGAGAGCAATGAATGGGGAGAGTCGAGCGGTATCTGTGCATTTTAAGGTAATTTTAATATTTGTTTTCTATTTTTCCCAATTTCATTATTCAGGTATCATCGCAAGGGGTCACACTGACTGATAATACTAGAAAAGTGTTCTTCCGCCGTCATTTTAATGTACAAAGTGTCATTTTTGCTGGAATGGATCCAATTGATAGGAGGTGGGTTTTTTTTGGATAGTAGAGTTTTAGAAATATTTTATCCTTCAGGTTTGAAAATACTCGTGCTCTTGGATTCCACGATGGATGCATTTCTCATGCTCGTCTGTTTGCCTTTGTCGCCAGAATTCCATCGTCTTCTGAAAACGCGTGCCACGTATTCGCCGAGCTGGAACCGGAGCAACCTGGTAGTGCAGTGGTTAACTTTATCAATAAAGTTATGCTGGCACAGAAGAATCGATCATAATTGTTGAAACAATTTGTTTCCATATCTATTTACTTAGTTCTATTTAACAATTTCCCAACTTCTTTTTTTGAAATACAAAAAGCATTAGCAGCATCCGTGATATTCTAAGTCAATTGCCTTTCCAAAAACCCCCTTGACAACCACAAAAATAATACGATTCTTATCATCGCAAAATTTTGATTTTACGGTTTTCTCTCTTTTGTACCCTTTTCTTTTTCATTTACTTTTTTTTCCAAAGCTTTTACAGTTTTTTTTCAGTTGCTTCTTGCATTTTTTCTTATATTGTCGGCGCTCTTTTTCTCCATCAATACAAATATAGTTTTGTATGTATATGAATAAAGATTATTTGATAATTAAAAATATCAATTTTTGGTTTCGATTTGCAAAAACATGACAAACCTTGACATCCAAAAAATAATAATTCTTTCGAGAAGACGAATTTTGTTTTAATTCTAGAAGAAGATTTAACTTCGCCATGTCTCATTAGAATGGAATTAGGCAAAAAAGTTGTCTATTACAAAAATGATGTTCTGATTTTATTTAGTACACTCTGAAATTTTCAGCGGAATCGAAAAATTCGAGACTACTTCTGTAGAGCTTCAAAGTATGGTATACCGTAAACACTCTAATAAAGGGCCACCCAATTCGTCAACTTTGAGCTAATTTATCTTGGTTCGTAGATCCCATTTGGTTCAGACACCCAAATTTGTCAAGTTTTTAATAAGATAAAGTCGATGACATTTTGACCTGGTTATGTCTATTTCCCAGCTCATCTGTCATCGAATCGTGGAAAATCCAGCTGCCTTTTTTCAGCTGATACATGGAAACATTAATTGATTTCCCAATTGAATACTTTTTCTTCTTCGGAATATGGCGGCAATACCGGAAGTACAGTAAGAATAAATTCGAACACCAGATCTTAAAATGATGGAAATTGAAGAGACGCAGGTCGTCAGACAATGCTCGAAGCGGAGCCCATCGACGAATTTGTCCATGAACAAACAACTCGTAGCAAAGAAACATATCAACAGGATTTGGATGAATTGAATATGGCTGATAAGAGAATTCAGAGATTCGTCAGGAATGGAGAGGTACAGAAGGTTTAAAGGTGGGGGGACATGAGAAAAAATGTTCTCGAAATTCCGTTCAAAGATGCCCCTCGAGGAGTTGAACTTGTGAGGGCGATGATTGAGGGTGCGGCGCCGCAACCGACTGAGCCACGCGGGCAAAGAGAAAGGGCACGCCTGATTGCATACATAAAGGCGAGGACGACAGCTGTACGCAGAGTGACATTAAGCATTGTACACCGTGACGGTAGAATGCATACTCTAGCTACAAAAAAACTACGAAAAATCTCCTGTCCCCCCACCTTTAAAGTGAAAAATCTGGATGAAAAACTTAGGAAAATAGGAAATTTAGATTGAAATTTGATTTTTACAGAAAAATCGCTTCACCAACGTGGCATGCTTCGACGAGATTCTGGATCGTGACAACGAAGACTTCTACTGTCATGCAAACACATTCAGCACCCCATACGGAAACTTTGTCATTTCTCAAGCACCCAAAGAGAACACATGTGGAGATCATCTTCATTTGATGTGGATCTACAATGTTCGTACTGTAGTTTGTATGGTTCCAGCCGAAGAAGCAGGTGGATATTTCGTCCCGAAAGAAGGCGAATCTTTTACCGTATTCCAAAAATACACAATGAAAACGAACACGATTTTTGATGAGAAACAAGGGCTTACTGTATACCAATGTGAGCTGAAATCCTATAAAGCACCAAAGGCTCAATCTCGTCGAACCATTTATATCATTTGCTCGGATACTCCTGTTGCTGCACTTCGATCGCCACGTCAGCAGACTGTTCTAATGGAATACATGTGGGCATTTGAGGTACTGTAAGCACTCTAGGGTAAAAGACAATTGGACTACTAAAAATTCTAGTTTTGAGAGCCTCAATACCGTGAACACTCTATTAGATGGTCATTATATACTTACACTTTGAGCTCAATTATCTCAATTTCTATACGAGGTATCAAAATTGTGTCAACTGATACAATTTTGGTATTATGATAAACATGTTTTTTGGTTAACACTTTTTTGTTATTTTTAATAGAAATCGAGATAAAACCTAAATTTTGAAGCAGAAAAACCTAAATTTTGAAAAACCCTTCTAGGATACTGAAGCCATCGAACGTAATGGAACGACATCTGATGCTCTGACAACAGTTCTCGTTCATGGAGTAGCTGGTACTCGTCGTTGTGCATCCTTCGTAGTTGCAGCTGTCATGTGTCGTCAAATTCTGGAAACTGGACAATTTTCTGCATTGGAGACGTGGATTGAGATGAGATTGAGAAGAGCTCACACTTGTACTCGTAAACATGATTTCTATTCATCTCTCTACACTGTTTTTGCATTTGCCGCTCAATGTTGTACTGTCAGTGAATCGGAAGCCACTTTCGTCAAATCAATGGAGGTAAACATTTCGATTGAATTTTTCAACCTAAAAGAGGTTTTCAGATTTTGAAAGTTCTAATCGAGAAGTGCCATAATCGTAAGGAGGATGGAACTGAGGATTAGAGAACTTTCTTCTGTCATTTCATTTATTCCCCATTGTCCTCTTTTGATCCAATAAATAACCTTTTTCTGGCAAAACCTAAGTTATCGGTCAATAAAATATACAAAAAAATTCAGTTGATTTTGACGATTTCCAGGAGTCTGGAGCTCGGCTGTCAAGTTGCCAATCGCTTTGAAAACTTTGGAGATTGTAAAGCAGACCTAAAAAAGGAATTTCTTGAAAGTTCTTAGTTTATCAGCTTTTTGCCGATTCCTGGAAAAGACCCCTTTTTGGCCTGTTTTTGCACTAAAAAGTTGAAAAAAAGATGCTTTTCAAACCCCGGAAAATAGCTGGAAAGCTAGGGATTTTCAAAAGATTCTGTGAAAGCAAAGTTTCCACTCTAGGTCTGTTTCACATCTTCCAAAAGTTTCAAAGTGATCCGAAACATGATAGCCGAGTTGCAGACCAGAGATGAGCGGAATTCCTTGTTCCTTATTCCTTCTTCCGGTTTTTTTCATTTTTTTTATTCCTTATTCTTTCTTCCTTCTTCCGGGTGTTTTTTTCATGTTTTCTTCCTTATACCTTATTCCGGATTTCGAAATTGTGTTCCTTCTTCCTTCTTCCTTCTTTCGGATTTTTAATTTTTTTCCTTTCTTCCTTATTCCTTTTTCCGGATTTTCAAATTTTCTATTAGGTTGGCGGGAAAGTCTTTGTCACTTTTTCAATAGTTTATTTCTCAAAGAAAAAATAACCGAATAATTAATTATATTGTCCATCATTATCAACAACATGTCTCCAACGTTCCCTCAATTTATGGATTCCATTGCGGTAGAATCCAGCCGGGCGTGAGGCAAAGTATTGTTTGAGTGCCGCTTCGACCGCTCCACGGGAATTGAAGCTTCTTCCTTCGAAGGCACGTGTCATATCGCCAAATAACCAATAGTCGGAAGGAGCAAGATCAGGAGAATACGGGGGGTGAGGGAGAACATTCCATCCATATCCCATCAGCTCCTGCTTCACTTGTTTCGAAACATGTGGGCGAGCGTTATCATGTTGATAGTACACTTTCTTGTCTTTCAGGGCCGAACGGTCGACTGCTTTCTTGAGGTTTCGTAGTTGAGTAGTGTAGAGGTCTCCAGTTATTGTTTTGCCCTCGGGCAGAAGTTCCCAGTAGATGGGGCCGTCCACTCCCCACCACACAGAGAGCATAACTTTTTTCGGATGAAGGTCGGGTTTGGGGACATCCTGTGGGCTCTCTCCTTCTCCAACCCACTGGGATTTCCTGTGGTGATTATCGTAGAAGACCCACTTCTCATCTCCGGTTATTAGCCGGTCCAGCCATCGATCGCCCGCGTGGAGAGTGAGAAGAGTAATCGAATCGTCGACTCGGCGGTCAAGGTTGGCTTGAGTCAGGTGATGAGGTATGAATCGACCAAAAAGTTTTCTCATTCCAAGAGACTTCAAACCTTCAAGGACTGTGCTATGGTGAACTCCGAATGTGACAGCTAGTTCACGGCTAGATTGAAATGGATCCGATTGCAATGCGTGCTTCAGCTTGTCCAAATCCAACTCACGGGGTCTCCCAGAGCGATCCTTTTCATCGAGCGAGGAGTCATCTTTTTCGAAACGATGGAACCAATTGCGAATAGTATTGTAGTGAGGGGCATGTGTGTTGTACACATTCTTCAAGAAAGTTTCCGAATCCTTCATCGTGGTGTGAGATAGGAAGAGGTAAATCAAAACATGTCTGATGTGAATAGCAGTGGGAACAAACATATCGTTTCAATTACAGATGAGGAGCAGGGAAGGAGATGGGGACTTGTTTATATGGAAGGTTCTTATCACCTTGTTATTCACTAGAGTCGATATCATACACAGCCTCCATATACGAGAACAGTGATTAAACAAACAGAGTGACAAAGACTTTCCCGCCAACCTAATATTTCGCTCATCTCTGTTCCAGACTGCTGAAAATGACAAAATCAACTGGCCCCTTCAATGGAAGGGTCCCTCTAATAGAAGGGCCTACTGTGAAAAAGGACCTCCCCTTCAAAATGTGTTTTGAAATGAAAAAAATTGGCAGATTTTTATGAATTTTGAACGGAACTTCGTCGAATTTTTCGATGCGAAATTTTCGAAAAAACTGGCTGGAAAAATAGAAGGGCCCCTGTATAGAAGGGCCCTCCGGAAGTACTTCGGGACAATAGAAGGGCCGGCCCTTCTAATACTGGTTTTACGGTATCATGGTTCTTTATTCCAGCTTACTGGGTTTCATTCCAGAAATTTTTTAATAAGAATTTTCCAACCAGATTTTGAAAGAAAGCAATCTGGGTACTGTAGAAAAGTTTTTCCAACCCAAGAAGTTTTTGAAAAAGTAAAGGATCCATAGTTCTTGAACATTCGGAAACCATCGATGTCCCTGTTGGGTTTCCGGTTTGATTCGGGAAGGATGTGTCTTCCAATTAAATTGTCGTCCATCTTTTTTCCTTTTTTTTCTTTATATGTCAATTGAAAATAGGTGTTGAGTAATTATGAGAGTACGCTGCTGGGGAAAAAAGAAGACTAGTTTGATTGGTTTCGGGTTTCAAGTGCAATTGTGTAGTAGGTTATTCTTCATTTTCTACAGAAGTTTGACTTCATTCCTTCTTGAAACTTTTGATTTTTAAATTTAGCATTTTTCAGTTTTACACAATTTTTTTAGAATGTCGCTTCCCTCCTACATCTGGCGTAAAACTGCTTCTCCTACTGTAGCGATCACTCTTTCGGTTAGCGCAGTTATTTATGTTACCGCGATTTGTCCTTTGGTTTTTCTTTATCTTTTTGGAGACGCATCGAATGTTCTGGAAAACGAACAGTGTCCGGTAAGTTATGTTTTGTGTTATGCATCGAGTGTACGGTATGAATTATCAAATCTGGAAAAAATTTAGACAGCCTTTTTGATCCGACTTTAAAGTCTGGTATTTTTGAAAGCGCACATCTTTAAAACTACGGTAGATAGCAAATAGTTGTCAACTGGTAAAATGTATAAAAGTGAATTTCTGACAATTTTGCAGTTAAACTTTTTGATAGCTATTTTAGTTTTTGATATGCGCTTTCAAAGTTTGCGTGCGAGGAAGGAGCAGGTGATTCGCGCAGCGTCTATAATAGGTGAAATATTGTTCGCGGAAAGTCGCCATGAGTACATCGGAACATGCCTGCCGCAGGTCATTTACAGACCAATCGCGAAGACGCCACCGCAAACGACCAATATTCGCCCTATCGCGAGCAAATCTCCTACAATTGGCTTGTGGCGAGAGCAGTAATTGGCATGCATTTTTTCGAATCTGGAAGCTAGCCGCTGCTTAAAATTATTTATTACACAGAAAAAATAATTAAAAAAGACAAAAAAAATTGCTGAAAAGTTATATGTTTAACTTTCGATGTAGTTTTGCTGGCTGGAACGGCGTCGAAGCTTCTCCTTCTGTCAGTTTTTGACTTTTTGGATGATGGTCCAAGTGGGGGTGGAGAAGACGGTTAAGGTTTTCGGCTAGCAAACTGAAACAATTCATCTAGATTTGAAGCTGCCACTAGCTTCTGTACTGTACCTCAGATAGATTATATCGGCTGGAAATCTTGTTGAACTTCTCGAATTGGACACTCCCGCATTTAATATTTTCTTGACCAACGCCATCTGAAATTAGAATGTTTTTTCTCGAGATTTTGATTCAAATCTACCCACCGTTGATTCTTGATTTCCTTCCTCTTTCTCCGGTGCTTCTTTTCTGGAAACTTGTGATTTTCTGGCTCCCTGTAAAAATTATATTACAAATTCGGACTTTCTGCTGGCTCCTTACATTTTTGAAGTACGGTGTCTCTTCTACCTTCAGAATTATCCGGAATTCTGACTCCTAACTTCCGACTTTTGAATTCCGACAACCTTGCATTCCCGGTCATTGAAAATTTTCCTTTTTCCTCTTTTTCTGAAAACAAAAAGAGAAATTCATTCTTATACAGTATTCTAGTATAATGTTATATGTCGAGTAGTGGTTTCTAGACAAAAATGGAAAAAAAACGGCAAAAAAAACGAAGTAAAATACCCGAAATAGGGAAAGGAAGTTCGGAAAATAAAAAACAAGAATTTTTTAGCGATTGGTCTATTGTGGACCTTTTATGGGGCCAGTTAGTAAGATACGCTATTTCCCGGTAGATAAGTAATTGGTCGTTAACGACTACCGTATCAGACCCATATCGCACACATCGCCCACCCACCCAGAATCCATCTAGGATATGCGCGCATTCGGAACACTCGATTCAGCCTCTCCCGCATCGCACACATATGAGACTCATCGCAGCTCGTTGTTCGCAATATGTGTCAAACGGACTTCTAGAGGATCGCATATGGATCGGGTCCTTTATGCGCATCATCGCCCAGGACCTGTGTTTATAGCCCTATCTCTGAATCACCTGTGTATTCTGTTGACGGAATTGAGCTCCGATAGTGTGCGCAAACACCAAGTGCGCTCACCGCTACACTACGGCACACCACAAGAACGAAGGGTGTGTTTCAACATTATGAAGTGGCGAGCGCGCGCCCACCAATGGCGGTTTAGAGAATATCCATTTTTTAGTCATTGAGAATCCGGTTGACTAAATTTTAGCTGCTGTCACTCTTTTCAGACCGTACCCTTCCACATATCAAAAAACTAGCGAAACGAAAATTCTCCTGCCCCCCCCCCCCCCACCTTTAATAATTTTCCAGACCCAAATGAGCGAACTACGAGAACGAGTGAATATTGTCAAAGAACATATTCACGATAGTATTCGACAGAAAAGAGAGCTTGCTTGTTTGTTTTTTCATTAATTCGATGTTCCATGACTCGTTTAATTTCAGCTTGTTGTGTGGGACCACCCGGAATGAAAGGATTTCCAGGAAAGAATTCAAGAGATGGGTATGATGGGGAACCAGGTGAGTGGCATCCTGATGTTGTTCTAGTAAAATCTAAATTCTTCAAGGTCGTGATGGTCAACCAGGACGTCCAGCTGATGGAGATAGTCGCATGATTTGCATTCGTGAATGTCCTGCTGGTCGTCCGGGACGAGAAGGTGGTGATGGTCCAAAAGGACAGAAAGGACAACGTGGACGTACAGGACAACAAGGAGACACTGCTCCTCCATCAATTCGTGGGGAACCAGGAGAACGAGGAGACAAAGGATTCCCAGGAGCACCTGGAACAGCAGGAGAACCTGGAGAGCCAGGGAGAGTGTATGTGTCAGATGGACCACCAGGAAAAGATGGAGAGACAGGACCACGTGGACCACCTGGAGATAAAGGACGAACTGGAAGAAATGGAGAGGATGGACTTCCTGGAGAGCGTGGAGAGAGGGGATATCAGGGGTTGAAAGGAGAAGTCGGAAAAAGAGGACCAATGGGAACATTCGGACCCATAGGTGAGCTAGAAAAGTCAATTTTCACTGGAGAAATGTTTTATTTTAAGGTCCCAAAGGAGAGCCATGGCCTTGTGAATCTTGTCCACCTCCTCGTGTCAGCCCTGGCTACTATCTCAATTCCAGAAATAAAAAACATTGAATTTTTTTAATTGAATGAAATTTTTAAGATGACCGGAAAATTGCAGACCACCAAATGCGAATATGGAATCTTATCTTAAAATTGAATGTAGAACACTTTGGTTTAAAAAAGATTGAACAAAGTCTTCATTCAAGAAGTTCATCACCTAGATTCTTAATAATTTATAAAACAACATAAGAAATCGGACTGTATTATATTAATTGAGCAGTTTCATTTCTGATAACCATTTCAGCTAATTCGTCGTCCTTCTGAAATTCGTACGTCTCCAAATTGTTGGCTCTCATTGGAAGTTGGGCGGCCGGAGGTCTTGATTGGACTTCAATATTGTTTTCTACTGGAGATTGTTCAATTGGTCCTGCAAATGTAAAGCTTCTTTTAATTTTTTTTTTTAATTTGAACTGCCGTAAAAAACCTGTATTAGAAGGGCCGGCTCTTCTATTGTTCCAAGGTACCTCCGGAGGGCCCTTCTATTACAGGGGCCCTTCTATTTTACCAAGCCCCTCTCGGAAGGTCCGTCTATTAAAGGGCCCTTTTGTTAAAGGGGCCCTTCTATTACATATTTTATGGTATATAATAGTATGGAGGTGGTTTTTATAACCATAAACATTAGTTTTTAGATATTCGAAAATTGAAAAGACTAGTTTAAAAACGATGGGAATAACTCACTTTGCATTCTTTGAAAAGGCACAAAATGACCAGGAATCGGTGGTCCGGCTCCTAGAAACGGCATTGTCAAAGGACGAAGAGCATTTAGTAGAGCACCTTCTGTAACAGAAGATCTTCTTTTTTTAATTGGGAGCATATGAACTCACCCATTACAAGCAACCCATTCCTAGATACAGCTTCTCGTGTGGCTATGGAATTCAACTGGTTTACAAGAGCTTCTTGTTCGGACATTTCTGAAAAAGACTAGACAAATAAACTTTCCTTACTTAATCCTCACTTGCTAAAAACGTTCTATCGTCTTCAATTGTCGGAGGTGGAGCTGGTTGAACGACGATTCGTGTTGAGGGAATTCCTAGAGGTGGTGGTGGGATTGGAGCTGGTATTGGTGGTTCAACTGGAATTGGTACTGTAGTTGCTCCATTGTTTCTCTCGGAAATCGATTCTCCACCTGGGTGAAGCTGCAATTTTTACAGATTATATACTAGTGTTTCCTTTATCACTCGTCTCTCTGATTTCAAATTTTCAGAAAGTTCGAACAAGTCTAGAGCTGTATTTTTTAAAGAGGGACTCCGACCAAATTTTTTGTATTGTCTATTCAAAATAATCGCGCAAGTGAACGAGTAAAAATGTCTGCGCCTCTACAGCGTCTCTACAGGTTTGGAGACTCTCTACACGTTTTTTACTCGTTCACCCGCGCGATTATTTTGAATAGACATTAT